CACACTGGACGCCCCGACTGGACGCCCCGCCCGTTCAACCCCACCCCGGGGCCAAAGGCCGACCTGGCATCCACTGCCAGCAGCCCGCAGGGCTGGTCCTCGCAGGGCACGGCCCCCTCCGCTGGTGGCCCCCTGCCTGCCGCTCCCCTCTGCGAGATTGGTCAGTCCTGACCAAACGGTCCTCTAGGCCGCACCCCCATACTCCCTAAGAATGGATGCCCCACCCAAGAAAACTGGGGTCCGCAAGCCAGAGGTCCTGGAAGACAGCTGGATACGCCGCTCCGGACCCAGCCCTGCCCCCGGGAAGCCCCAGGAGCTGGGGCGCGAGGGACCGTCGAGGAGGCGCCCATGGAAGGGGTCCTGGGATGTTCGGGGTGGGTGGGCTCGCAAGCTGTTGCTGGTTTACGCTGGGGACTTACGGTCACGCCATAGTAAAGTTCTGGGGTCTCTGATGGCAGCGCGCATCACTGAGATTCCAGGAATGATCCTGGCGCCATGGCCGGGAGGCGTAACCAGGGACGCCGGAATTACTCGGGGCCACTGGAAAGTTACTGAGAGATCCCAAGGCAAAACAGACTTGTGCTGGGAAAACTAGAAGCCGGGTGGGCACGTTCCTGGGGTGCTTCGAGCATGAGAACAGGCCTGGGGAGAGCTTCCAGGCTCCCTGAAAGATACCGAGGGATGCTGGAATATTACTGCGACTTCCCTGGGAAGCTCAAGATGTTTCTGACATCTAGAGCACTCATGGAAATCTAGGGGGAGTCACCGGCCCTCGAGACGTTACTGGGAAAATTCCTCGCTGACTGGCCCTTCACCCTAGGGCACACCAGGCGACCGGCGCGGTGACACCTGCCGCGAAGTGGGGGGATGGGGGCATCAGAAAGTCGGGACTCACGAGGCTCGGAGGAAGACCCGTCTTGGGAAAGCCAAGACCCGCTAGCGATCCCGGAAGGGACGCCCCTGCGAGGCCGACGCAAACCCGGACTCACCTAGGCGCCGCAGCCGGGGTCCACCCTGCGCCAACACCGCTAGCGCTCCGCAGCGCTCCACAGGCGCGGCCCCTTTAAATTATTCACCGCAGGGCGCGCCGCAGCCCCACCCCCATGCCCGGAAGGTCGCGAGACCCGCCATGCTGAGTGTGGTGGCGCCTTAAAGGGGCCGCACACCGGCTGGCGCAAAGACTACCCCTCCCGCTAGGAAGGAGAACGGCACGTTTATTTTCCCGTTTATTTAACACCCACCCCACCCCTGTCTCCCCACCCTCCAGGGTCCGGCCTGACTGACCAAGGCTCTCCCAGGGCGCGGCAGGAGCCGACTCGTAAAAGCAAACCCTAAAAATAAATAAGCGGGGGTCCCCGCAGTCCGGGGTCAAGTGAGTGGCAGTCGCGGTCCAGTCAATTCACCAGCAGCGAATGTTCCTCCGATGCGTCCCTGAGGAGGGAAGGGGGAGAGAGGTGGGGGTGGATTCCGTTCGCTCGAGCCCGCTCCCTTGCTCCTAGCCAACGCCCCAGACCCAGGACTCGAACCTTCCACAGCAGCAGAGGAGGCTGCAGGCTGAGCCGCTCCCGCGGCGGAACTTGCCGGAGGTGGGGGTGTCCTGGCACTGTGCTATGTAGGCCTGGAGGTCGCTCGCCTCTGCGCCTGCGCCGCCCGGGTGCTGGGGAGAGGGGTTGGAGACCTGAAAGAGGTCCCCCCGGTTCCACGCCCCGAAGTCTGCCCTCCCACCTCCGGGCCTTTGCACTTGCTGCACCCTCTCAGGGAGACCTGGCTTGACCCCTGAACACGGCATGTGTTCTGCATCTGAGTCTGGCACCCTCTGCCAGGCCTGCCACTGCCTGGGTACTCAGTAACCATCTGCTGAGTGAGGTGGGTGCAGGGTGAGCATGCTAGCTCTGAGCCAGGCCACTGAAGCCGCACTGTGACATCTCAGTGCTCCAGCAAGATGTGGGGGCTCTCCAAGGGCCTGAGTGACAGGAATGTGTCGGATGGCTGAATCTAGGCGTGGGGGGAAGGGGCCGCACACGTCTGCCGGTGACAGCATAGACATGGCAGGGCCCCAGCATTGCCTTCCCTCCTCTCTATGCAAGGACCCACCATCTTTTCTCTGAGTTCTTTCGGGCTACCAGACCTCTGCACTAGCTGTTTCTTTCCTTCCCAAGTGTGCTCTCCTGTGGGTGCCCAGCTCTTCCATCTAGAACCCTCTGAGATGATGGCCATGTTTGATACCTATGCTGTCCAATAGGGTAGCCACTAGCTACACTGGCTTTCAGGCACTGGGTATGTGGACGGTGCATGTCAGCAACTGAATTCTCGGCTGTATTTTTTTTGAGCCGGGGTCTCACCCTGTTACCCAGGCTGGAGTGCAATGGCATGATCACAGCTCACTGCAGTCTCGACCTCCTGGCCTCAGATAATCCTCTGAGCTCAGCCTCCCAAGAAGCTGGGACTACAAGCACGGGCCATGACACACAGTTAATTTATTTTCTTTAGAGATGATCTCTTGAACTCCTGACCTCAAGTGATCCTCCTGCCTTGGCCTCCCAAAGTGCTGGGATTGCAGGCATGAGCCACCACACCTGGCCTTTACATTGTATTTCATTTGAATTAAAATCAAAATTTAAACAGTCACATGTAGCTAAAGTGGTAACAGACAGAATATTCTAGCCTTCCTGGATGCACCCCAATACCAGTCTAAAGCAGAGTCCCTATGTAACTTTCCACATTCCCTCCAGACCTCTCAGCAGTTGGTAACTGGTCACAGACCATCTGTTCCTGTACCATCCATCTGGCCCACAGGCCTTGGACAGACTGTGTACCCTTGACTTTCCCGGAGCCCAAAACCCAGTGCAGAGCTTGGTCCACAACAGGGCCCCAGACATGTTTGCTGAAAGAATCCTGTCTACCTGCCACCCACAGTCCGGCTCTGTCTCCTCTCTCTCTCTGACCTTTGCGGTCTGCAGGGAAACCACCATTCCCAGCCACCCCAGTAGCCAGAATCAGACCGCCCTGGGCTGAGCCCAGCTCCCCTACTTCATAGCTAACCTCAGGCAAGGTACTGAAACTCTGTGACTCAGTTGCCCTGCTGGGAAAAGCAGACTTAGGAACCCTCCTGGTCTGAGCCCCGCCTTCACTGAGACGCTATCAGTCCTGCCCGTGCCCCCGCCCTGAGTCGCCCTCTTTGTGGCTTTGCACACTCTCCCACATTCTCTGCCTGGGTCTTTCCCGCTCACCCTGCCGTGTCCCCAAGACCTCCTAAGGGCCAGCTCCGAGGGACTTGGTGCCCAAGCTCGAGCCGTGCGCGTGTGTGCGTGGGACGCCCCGAGAGGTGGCCGGGGAGCTGAGAGGTGGCGCGGCTGACCTTGATGGTGTCATAGGCGCCAGTGATGAGTGCAATGAAGAGGCTCAGCACCATGTAGATGAAGAGGCTTATGAAGGAGTAGAGGTAGAGCTGGGAGAAGAGCCAGACCAGGCCGCTGTGGCCCTGCTGCGCCTGCATGGCCGCAAACGTCACGAACATGTCGTCCCCGTTGATGAGTGAGAACAGACACTCGGACACCATGGACAGCGAGCGGAACTGTGGCAGGGTGGCAGGGTCAGAGGAAGCCGCGGGCATGGCGGGGGGCTGGGGTCAGGACGGGGCCCGAGGGTCAGCCATCGGGTCAATGGCAAAGTCCCAGGGTCAATGACAAGCTCATAGGGTCTAGGTAGATAAAACTGTAGGTAGACTGACTTGAGTCGAGACAGGATCAGAAGCAGTTGTGACAATGATAAAGTCACAGGCCAATGTCAGGGCCATCAGGGCTCAGAAGGGACAGTACACAAGTACCAGCAGTCACCATGGGGTCATCTGGGTCATGATGTCAATGTCAAGGTCATAGGGTCGATGTCAGGGTTGGAGGAACAGTGAACAGCGTATCAGCAGTCACTATAGGGTCATCTGAGTGTCATGATGTCAGTGACAAAGTCATAGGGTCAATGTCAGGATCACTAGGGCTCAAAGGAGACAGCGCACTAAGCACCAGCAGTCATGATGAAGTCATGCGGGGTCACTACGTCAATGACAAGGCAATAGGGTCAATTTCAATATCAATAAGGAACTGCACTGACTACCAACAGTCACCATGGGGTCATTCAGGGGTCTTGGTGTCAATGGGTCAATGCCAGGGTCGCCAGGGGTCAGACTGCAAAACCACTGCAGACTTGATGGCAAGGTCCCAGGGCTCAGGGTGGGTAATGCAGTCTCATCACTAGATAGACCAGGAGTCAGAGGTTCGGGGAGAGGGCTCAGGGGAGCCCCAAGCACCCCAGCCTCAGCAGCCCTACCTTCACGTGATAGGGCCCCAACACGATCCAGCCACAGAAGCAATAGCCCAGGTAGATGACGGCCACACAGCAGCAGAAACGCATGACGCTGGGCAGGGCCACTCGCAGAGTGGCGATGAGAATCTGTGGTGGGGAACAAGAGGCCACGCTGAGGGCAGAGCCACCACCCGGGTGGGCTGTGGGACCCCCATTGGGGGTAAAGCAAGCAGGGTCTTGTGGAGGACACAGACGGTGTGGCCACAGGGGCTTGGGGGAGGCTGGGGGCGTGGCACTGTCTGAGGGCACTCAGGGCTGCACGGCACATGCATGATGTCATATACTGACATCCCTATATATAGGGACAGGCTCCCATGGCCCCATCCAGGGGTGGTCACAGGTATGCCTGGGGTGGGTGGGGCTGGTGAGTGCTGTGTGTGTGGATTGACTCAGGGGCCATGGGGGCCACTCGGAGGGCCTGACTCATCCAGGTCGATACCGGGCCGCGTGTGTGAGGCTCACGTTGTATTTGTGGAAGAAGGTCAGATAGCGGATGACGCCGACCCACACAAGCAGCGTTGACGTACCCAGAAGGATGCTGCAGACGTCATAGCTCGCCAGGTTCTACGGGTGGGAACTGTGTTAACCCACGTGGCCCGGCCCCTCAAGTGGGGGCATACGGGGAACATGGCCCAGGCGGGCATCGGCACAGCGGTGTGGGCAGGACCCACCTTGGCCTCAATGCCTATCTTCATGATGGTGCCTGAGATGGTAAGCACATCACTGGTGACCAGCAGAATGTACCAGCCATTGACAAATTCCAGCCGTTCCCACAGGCTGAGGACCCGGCCCCGCTGGCGCCACATGAACCCAGCAAACTCCTGTGGAAGGCAGGCAGCATGAGAACCCATCCGGGCACAGGCCCCTCAAGCCCTGGGCCCTTACTGCCCCAGGGCCAGGCGAGGCAGGCACCGGCACAGGTGACACAGGGGCCTCACATTCTGTAGCAGGAAGCCTCGCAGCAGTGAGCGGGCACACAGCAGGAAGGACAAAGAGCAGGTGAGGATGACGACCACATCGAACAGGAGCCGGAAGCTGTTGTCTCCTGTGGGGAGGAGGCAGTGGATAGGGCCAGGCCTGCCATGGGGCCTCGGGAAGCCAGTGCTGGGGCCGGGCCAGGCTGGACACTCGAGGGACTGCACGGCTGGTTTTGACTGGTCAGTGAGCTCAGGGTTCACTTGGGGCGAATCAAGACCCCTGGTAAGGGTTGGTCTGAGGTCAGGGGATCCCCGGACAGGTCAGGCACCCTGGTCAGCGCTGGTCTGGGGCTCAGGTCTCACCGTGCCTGAAGACACTGGGGTGCTTACACTCCTGGATGTGGGCCTGGGTCTCCAGGCTGATGGGGATTCGCCCACTGTGCGCCTTGTTGTCAAATGTGATCTGTGGGGGCCAGGAGGGGGCAGAGTAAAGCTGACAGCACCAGCCCCGGATCCCGCGTGACAGTCAGCCTATCCAGCCGCAGGCTCCGCATCACCACCCAATACTTACCCTCGGCCAATGCCACCCAGAGGCCCCTGACCAGGTTCCTGCCCTAACTCAGGATCCCACGGGTCCCCCAGGCCCCAGAGGGTCCTCACCAGGACGCTGAAGGTGTAGCAGTCTGGGATCTCGTTGTTAATGAGGCTCTGGAGGTTGATGGTCTTCAGCCGGAAGTGGATGGTGACATTGACCAGCCTGGTGGGGGAGGCTCGGTGAGGGGCAGAGGGCCCAGCAGGCCCTTTCTGGCCCCAAGTGCCAGTGCCCCATGCCCCATGCTGACTCTGCGGCTGGCAGGGGAAGTGCTCGCACAGCAGGCGCCACTGAGGGCCCTGCCCCCACCTCAGGGAAGTGGCTGCCGGGCCAGAAGGCCCCACGTCCTGCCCCCCACCCGGGGCCCCTGAGCCAGCAGACAGTACTTGTGGAATTTGAGCGTGAGGTTCTTGTAACTGGAGCTGCCATCCGAGAGGGCGAGACCATCACTGGGGGACAGAGGGGCTCGCTCGGGGGGATCCACCTGGATACAGTCTGAGGACAGGGAGTCAGGGAGGTGCCTCAGGAGGTGGGGGAGGTCAGCGGTCTTCTTCCCTGTGCCTAAATATTTGCCATCTCCCTCCAGTGCAGGCCCTGGTCAGGCTCATTCCTCACAGAGACCCTAGGGCCTGGTGCTCTGTGGGACCCCCACATGTTCAGTGAGTGAATATCTAAAAGTTAGGCAGGGCACAGTGGCTCATGCCTGTAATCCCAACACTTTGGGAGGCTGACACAAAAGGACTGCTTGAGGCCAGGAGTCGGAGAGCAGCCTGGGCAACATAGTAAGACCCCATCTCTACAAAAACTTTAAAAAATTGACCGAGCTCGGTAGCTCAGCCTGTAATCCCAGCACTTTGGGAGGCCGAGGTGAGTGGATTGCCTGAGCCCGCAGGTTCAAGATCAGCCCGGGCAACTTGGTGAGACCTGTCTCTACAATAAATCAAAAATTAGCTGGGCATGGCAGCATGTGCCTGTAGTCCTGGCTACTTGGAAGGCTGAGGTGGAAGGATCGCTGGAGCCCAGCAGGTCGACGCTGGGGTGCCCGTGAGCATGCCCCTGCACTCTAGCCAGGACAATGGAGTGAGACTCCAACTCAAAAAAAAAAAAAAATTAGCTGGGCATGGTAGCACACGCCTATAGTCCCAGCTACAGGGGAAGCTGAGGCAGGAGGATCACTAGAGGCTTCAGTGAGCTATGATCGCCCCACTGCACTCCAGCCTGGAAGACAGGGTGAGACTTTGCCTCAAAAGAAAGAAAGAAAGAATAAATAACATCTGGCGCTTTCCGCCCGGTAAGCATCACGCTAAACACATATCAAATTATCAGCGATCATGACAACCCCCTCTCACGGACGAGCGACAGCCATAGCTGTGTTTTAATCCCCGCAGCCCAGGCTCCAAACAGCAAATCCCACCCCCTGGCCACTCACCAGTGACTACCATTGGGTCGATGTCAAAGGTGTCATTGGCGGGGTCCACATGGCCGCGGTGGTAGTATCGTTGGCAGAGGGCCAGTGCTGAGTCATTGGCCCAAGGGCTGCCCCCTCCGCGGACATAGGCATACCGGCCCAGGGACACATTCGGCAGCATCAGGTACTGTGAGAGGTGGAGAGGAGGGCTGTGAGCCCCACCCACTCTCCCCGCATGCCCACCTGCTCCGCCTGTCCACCTCACCTGGTCCACAGCGTGGAAAATGGTTTGGTAGAGCTGCTCCTGCGTGTAGGCTGCGAAGGTGTCATCTGCCCCATCCGAGTAGCCCAGCAAGAAGAGGTGTCGGAAGGCAATGGTGTTCTCTTCCCGGAATGTTACCACCAGCTGGTTGCTGAGCCCGAACAGGATAAGCTGAGGTTGGGGGAGAGGGGAGTCAGTGCTGCTGGGAAGGGGCACAGGTGGAGGAAGAGAAAGGAGGGCCTTGAAAGGCCATGGGGGGCGGCCCTCCCGACATGGGGCACCTGTGCGTTTCTTTGCTTTAAGTTCCTCCTCCCCCAGTCTCCTAGCCACAGTCACCCTCTGTCCCCCACAGCACAAAAAGTGGGTGCTCATGAACCCCACGGCAGCAGTTAAGGGTCGTTAAATGCTTACCGATGCCGGGTTCTACGGGAAACCCAAACCCACAATGGACCCCTTTACTGAGAAATGTAGAAGTGAAACATCTAAAGTCACAGCCCGAGACTGCAAGGCAGTGGCCAGCATAAGGCTTGGCATGGGGGCAGAAGGACCAGCTATCTGTTCTGCTACTGGGTCAGCATGGCGTCAGATTGCCTGGATTCAAATCCCAATTCCCAGTGCTCTATCACTGTGTGAGTTTGGACAAGTCCCTTAACCTCTCTAAGCCTCGGTGGCCTTATCTCTACAATGGGGGCAACAGCAGTTGTCAGGACTTTGAAGGACACTGACAACACTAAACGGAACCGCTGCACAGATTTCAGATGGCTTCCTAATTGGCTACTGTCATTGTCATTATGCTGCTGTGACACTCTCCTTCAAGGCCACAGGTGGCATTCTGCATGGCTGGTCTCACCTGCACAGTGACCACCAGGATCTTAACCACCTGCAACATCAACTTGCAGGGCTTGCGGCCCTTGGCCCGAAATTTGTCACAGGGACTCATGAAAAAGTATTTGAGACGACGGCGGAGGTCCTCCTCTTCTGGGGGGGTTGGAGGGGCTGGTGAAGCCCCCTCCCGGGTCCCATACCCAGGGTTGGGGGTCAGGAGCCGCTCGGTCTCTGTGGGCACAGGAGAGGAGACTGGAGAGCAGGCCTAGGCAGCCCCCACCCCTGCCACAGCCACAGCCGAAGTCCTGGGCCACTCCCCATGCCTCCTTCTCTAATAGGGAGGAAGCGCTCCGCCTCTCCTCACAACCCCAGGCCTTTGCCAAGGGAGAACTTTGAGAGATCTAAGAACAACCAGAACACCTACAACATGTTGTCCATATATGCACCAGTACCACCCAGAGGTCATGATTTTGGGTTTGGGAGACAAAAGAACCTGAGTTGATTCCTGCCCCTGCTGCTACCCAGCTGGGACAGAACACTCCGCTTCTCTAAGCCTCGGTTTCCTAGTCTGCAAAATGGGGCCATAATCATCTCTCACGGAATGCTGAAGCTTGGATGCTTATAAAGCATTTATACATGCTGAGTGTCAGAACATTCCATCAATGTTCCTGCTGTTGATTTGCAGAGAGAGAATAAACTGCTTCCATTGACTTTTTACCAGGCATTCAAGGGTCCCAGGCTTGTCCCAATTCCAGCCTTCAGGCATCAGCACAGAGGTCATCCCACATTCCAGATTTTTCTGAACAAATTCCCAAAGGATGACCCTTGCACCCATCATAACGTGGCTCATTGATACTCTCACAAGCCACAGGCCTTGGAGAAGGCATAATCAATAATAACAGTAATAATAATGGAACACATTTGCTGAAGACTCATTTGATCTTCCTTAAGGGTAGCAGCTCCTAGAAATCACACAGGCCTAGGCTCAAATTCCAGACCTGCCATCCCTGTTGGGTAACCCCCAGTACCTCCCCTCTCCTAAGCCTGTCTCCAAATCTGAAAAATACAAATAAAAAGTCTACCCTGGCCAAGCATGGTGGCTCGAGCCTGTCATATTAGCACTTTGGGAGGCCAAGGTGAGAGGACTGCCTGAACCCAGGGGTTCGAGACCAGTCTGGGCAACTTGCTGAGACCTTGTCTCTACAATATATCGAAAAATTAGCTGGGTGTGGTAGCACGTGCCTGTAGTTCCAGCTACTTGAAAGGCTGAGGCAGGACTGCCTGAGCCCAGGAGGTAAATGCTGGGGTGGCCGTGAGCGTGCCACTACACTCCAGCCTGGGAGACAGAGTGAGACTCCGACTCAAAAAATAAAAAAACAGTCTACCCCATGCCTTAAACTCATGAGTAAGGAAAATAACAATTCAGGGTGACACCTGAATCCTCACTGCTAATGTGAGATGAATTTTTGAGCAGGTAAAAGTTGCCCCTAAGATGACCTGCCTACTTTGCAGATGCCTGGGAGTCATGATCTGCCCATCCTTCTTACGTTTAAAAAAAAAAAAGTCTACCCCTTGGATGGGTGCAGTGCCTCATGCCTGTAATCCCAGCACTTTGGGAGGCCAAGGCAGGAGGACCACTTGAGGCCAGGAGTTGGAGAACAGCCTGGGCAACATGGCAAGACCTTGTCTTTATAAAAAAATTTTAAAATTAGCTAGGAGTGGTGGTGGGCACCTATGTTCCCAGCTATTTGGGAGGCTGAGGCGGAAGGATTGTGTGAGCCCAGGAGTTCAAGGTTGGAGTGAGCTATGACTGTGCCACTGCACTCCAGTTTGAACAACAGAGTGAAATCTCATTTCTACCAAAAAAAAATTTTTTCTTACCCCTGAGGCTGAGATCCAGAAGCTGCTCTGATAATTCAGAGAAACAGGGCAAATAAAGATCTCAATAAATCTTCAGCAAACAAACAGAATCTGTTCTAATCACTGTTTATTTTCTTCGAGTCTAGAGGAAGTTCTAAGATTTCAGCAAGTCCTGGAGTGACAGCCAGTCACAGTAGCCCAGAACTGTCCCTGACACACCCCCACTGGGAGAATCCTCCTGCTTTCTAGGGCCTGGCCCCAGTCTGTCAGGATAAACGTGGGTACTGTCAGAACCTGCTGTGCAGAGAGGGACAAGTTCCCGGCCCCTCCCTTTGGAACTTGGATGCTATTCTGGTTGTTTACAAGTCAGCTGGAACGAAAGCCTGAGGACAGGCCCTGCCTCCAGAATTGGGCTCACAGCCAACCCACCCCAGACCCTACCAGCCGGGGACACCTATCAGGTAGGTGTCCCAGCTGCCTCCAGAAGGGGAGGTCAACACAAGGGGTCTTCCTCCAGCCTTCCCGATGAGAGGTGTAGTTTGAATTGACTGGAAGCCTGAGTTCCAAAAGGCGGAGCTTCCAGGGGTTTTGAGGTCTGAAATGGAGTTAATCTTCTGGGGGCAAGCTCTCCAGCTCTCTGCCTGCGTTTAGGGAAGCCGAACGTTTGCCTCGCGGAATCACGAAGAGAAGCCTGGGAGTCTCACGTGCGGGATGGAGAAGCTGGTGCCCGCTGTCTGAGTTCCAGCAAAGTGGAGCAATCAGAGCCTAGACTCCGAATAGAAATCCTGGGACCCTCGTCGCCCCGAGTCGGAGAAGCTGGCGGCCTGCTCGTTGCCTGAGTTTGGGAATTCTGAGCAGAGCCTGGGTTCGGGAAGGGGAATCAGGAGTCCCGCCATCCCCGAATTCAGAGATGCTGATGCCCGCCCACCGCCCGGGTTTTAGGAGCCGCCCGGCCCACATCCCCGTCACGGGGAAGCTGAAGGGTCACAGAGTTTAGAAAAAGAAAACCGGGAGCTCCGCAGCCCGAGGTCGAGGGAGCTGCCCGCCCGCCCGCTCG